TTTGGCCCCCCCCCCCCCCCCCCAACCCCTATCTTATTTTCTAGTTTCCGGGACCCCCCATAGTAAATAAAACAAGATCACTTACAGGGGCTGATAGATAAATAAACCTTGTATATCACAATATAAAATTATCACAAACAAACAAGTAAATAATACTGAGGGATTTATACAAATAAAACTTTGGTTGCGATGGGATTGGCAGTTCTAATGCTGAGTTTTACTTGGCACAAGAAAATAAATTTGGCAACTAGCAATACCCTGGCTCAAACGTTCAAGCGTCACATCGATCCAGGCCCATAGCTTAAGGGGGCAGAAAAATTGTTTCTCCCCTGAAAAAATTCTGACAACCGACCAATTACATTACAGCAACTGAGCACCACACTTCATTGCCGCTACGGAAAATCAAGTCTGGCTACGGGCCTGCATTGATCTGATTAAAATGATAATCTGGACGTTTCGTTACAAATGTTTGCCTGCGAGAGACAAGCTGACTAATACAAAGAACAAAATGAAACATCTAGATTAGTCCAAAACATTCCGCCACATTCCAGCCTGTGATAGAAATAAAATGGCTATCAGAAGCTGGAATGTTTCAGACTACATATATATCTGCATTTTAATCGATTTTGAGCCATATGGTATTGCAGACAACAAATTGTAATTGTAATCTAAAGCCTAATGATAGTGGGAATAAACACAGGTATCCTAACAATTTTTTTTCACATTTGGAAACTTGAAAACGTCTTCGCTTTGAAATAAAATTCTGCTTCATCGTCACTGGACTGCTGCAGACGTTATACGGCAAACATAAGAACTAAGCATAACACTCTCACGCGTAAACTAAAGCAAGCTTATCTCTTTAAGAAAAACACGACCTGGTGAAAGTTTTGTAAAAGTAACTCCATATAAGTGGATGAAAAATGAAATTGAGTTAAACGTCTTACTTTTCTACATGTGGAGTAGAGCCAAGAGGGGATTCTAATACAACTCAAATAATAAATACTTTTTGATAATAGACGGCAAGACAAGTTTCTCGATTTTCTTGGGAATCAATGGATGAAGTACATTACAGATCGCTTTCCTGGCCAATTGTTTCAAAGGACGAGGATTCTTGCCCAGGTACAATAAGAACTCTCTTTGAGAGTCAGTAAGGCCGGAGTATCTTTGAATAGCTTCCATATCAAACGATTGTCCGACGGCAGCTAATAAATAAAATATATCGTCCTTCCCCTTGAGATTGGGTATATAGTGAAGGATTCCGAATGGATCTTTGATCCTCACTGGAGACGTTTGTCCTTTGAAATTCACCCTGGCTCCATATTGGACCAGAAGGTGCACCACCTCAAATGTGATCTGTTCATTCTCGTTTATACGCAGATATTCTGTTAATGGCGACAAGCATGGTGTCGTATAGCTCACTATACCAGCGTTCCTATTAGGGTCTGCACCGTGTTCAAGTAAAAGTTCCATTATCGCAACCCTTTCTTTGAGATTCGGAGTCGCACACGCAAGGACAAGAGGGGTCGTACGGTCATCAGTAAACTCATTAACGTCAGCTTTCCACCTCAAAAACATTTGCACCATATCTGGTCTGTCTTTCATGACGGCTGCGTGAAGCGCACCATAATTGTAATTCTCAAGTTTACCAGGATTGGCACCGTTTCTTAATAAAGTATGTGCGATTCCGGAATTTCCGACTTGGACACAGAAATGCAGAGCTGCTTTCTGATCGAAACGGGGAGGTGACTGAAAGTTCACGTCTGCGGCATACGTCAGCAATAAACGCACCACATCAATTCTTTGCATACGACATGCTTTCATCAATGGTGATACGCCGCAACGATTGGCTACGTTTGGATCTGCGCCGTGTTGTAACAAAAGTTCCATGCATTCGACGTTGTCAATTGGTACTAAGTTAATTTCGTACCCCATGAAATATTTGTGGTCTGGACGGGCGCCATTAGCTAGCAGAAGTTTCAGGCATTCTATGTTATTATTCTCAACCGCTAAATTTATTGGCTCGATGGTCAAATAGCCCAATGCTCGAATGTTCTCACTGATATTAGGATTTTCATCGAAAAAGTCAACGTGTGCACCATTTTCTATCAAGACTTTCATAGATCTGTAGGAACCTTTGCGTGCACACACGTGCATTGGCGTATAGCCTATATCGTCTGGAAGATTAACATCCGCGCCTTTTTCAATCAGCAGTCGAACTGCAGCTACATATTCCACGTAAACAGCATAATGCAAGGGACGTAACCCGCGTTTCACTGCACCGTTGACGTTGGCGCCACATTTTATGATTAATTCAATGTCCTCTAGCGGTGATTTGAAGGTCAAGGCATCTGACAGTAACCTTAATATATTCTTCTCTTTTAGAATGGCAGGGCCTTGACAATCACTTTCTGCTGAGTCATCACTCGAGTCTTGGTCACCCTGAAAAGAGACAATAGATTAAAATTTAAATTTCAATTAATTGCATTGCTCATCCCTAAGCAAAATGAGGGGAAGACTGGATAGAACAGTAGGTTGGTCCAGGTTTAAGATATCGGATTATTAACCACCAGCAGGGAACGTGAACCGACCCGCATGATTTTAGTTTTACGTTCAACTTGCCTATATCCTATGTAGCTAATGAAAACAATAATTAAAAAATGGAAAACCATGCAGAGCAATTCTACAGGTGTGTTTCTACAATTAGAATAGATTTATCGGCCTTAAAAAAGAGAGATATTTGTGAGCTAACTGTAATTGTCTGTCGTAAATGAAAATATTCATCACTGCGTTTTCCTTTTTTAGTTGGACTTAAACTGTATTTGAATTCATAAGCCCTGTAAACAAAACAAAAAAACATACAGGAGATGAAGCTTGCACAGCAATTACATTCATCAAATTACGTTCTGAGTTAATTGTGACATTTTTATGATTTGACCTGACATGATTAACACTTCGTCCGGATGCCTGAACTTTCCGACCATCCCCCCAACACTCTAGGTCTTTGATCCATGGCTGTCCCAAGGGTCGTGACCTGTTGAGGTGACCTATCATTTACTTTCAAAATTGAGCATTTTTAACACCTTATATGTCCAAGGTTACAGGTTTTGAAGTTAGAGGCGTATGAAGCATGATGGAGACAAATGAGTCAAATGCAACAATTTTGAAACGACGTTTTCATACTTGATTTGTGTGGATTTTCAGTCAGTCCTCTCTTTACCTTATTTTGATTTGGGTTGCGCTACGGTTGCCTTGGCATAAAGGGTATCGGAATGTGACAAGTGTGAACGCAGTGGCGTATTTAGGGTGTGCCCTCTCTCTCTCTAATTCCCCGGGCCCCTTTTAGGTATTTTTTAGATACACCCCTGTCAACAAGTTTCAAGCTAGCATAATACTGTCAATTCCAGATCAACCAGTTTATGACTACCTGCTGGAAGCCTCCCTGTTGAAATAAGCGACAGGTCAATGAGTTAAGTTATCTAAACAACCCGTGGATAAAAATCAAGGCTGTAATTGGAAAAACAATACTCTTTTTATTTATCGATAATCGATTTGACCATCAACCTGGGTCACTGGGGTCACGACCGGGATCTGAAAGTCGTAAAATTTGACAAAAAGTAAATCAGCTAATTATAGAGTGTAACAAGTGCCTATGGTTTAAATTTATCGCATGATTTAATGAAAGACACGATAATCCATGACTCGTAAATTAAATGTACATTGTTTTTAGCTTCAAACATGCTGGATATTGATGTGAAGGCTTGGTCCTGTCATGATAGCTCACCCGGAAACAAGGGCTGCAGATCGAGTTGGAACTTGGATTGGACTAAGCAAATTGTTTGTTCTGCTCGTGTTTGTCAATTCAATAATTTACGGAAATTGTCGAGAGTTGTCAAATGAGAACCATGTTTTTAAAACATGTCTACTAATCTATTGCTCGATACCCAAAATTTCAATAATGGCAGACAAACGTCGTTTCTAATATTAGCTGGGCCATGTAGAATAACCGGAAGTGTCCTGTGTGGTTGTGGGAGACGGAGGATGGCGGGGTGTCATTAACGGTCAGTCAAAGAGTAAACGTTTTCTGCAAACATTTAGCCATGGGAACACAGTTATTCTAGACATTTCAGTTATTTCATTTTTTTTAAATAAAAAGTTTCCTCTTCGCAAGTACTTCATATTTCAACACGGAAGCAATTTAAGTTTAAAGGGACAAATGTACCTAAGTCTCAGAAACGGGAATTCTGTTAGATAAGCTAATCAGTATTAGTGTTCACAGTTCACAGCTTACAGTCGAAATTTGAGACCTTAAATTCATGTGTGTTTGAAAGTTAAAGACTCGTCTTTTCTTGAGACTGTCATATATAGAAAAGACCCAAATCACCCCTGAAAATGGCGAAACGATCCCTTTAATGTATCGTCTCTTCAACTCGTACGTATATAGGCCTAACTATTACATATTTCTATTCATTCATAAGTGGATGGGGTGATTTAAAGCATGATGACTTTAACGATCATCTAATCCGTTTAAAATGTGGATGCATGTAGTTTGCTTGTATAGAGTTTGACATATAACAGACATAGAACCGAAAACAAAGGCGGGGGCATTAGTAATTCGTCAAGACTTCCACAAATTGATATTGATATGTAGGGAGACTCGAACACAAGGCAACTGCCACCTCAACATCATTATAAAAGAATTCAAAACTCCTCAACCCTTGTGTAGATAATATAGGATCGGGAATATGAGAACAAAAGGTAAAGGAATTTTAATGCGTGGTGACAAATCTGTATTTAATTAGAGGTCACAAGCTAAATCATTCAACCAATCCACAAATTTGCATATATTACCTATGAAGTTAATTAAAGGAGATGATACAAGCGTGTGAAGGGTTAATTGGCTCAGTTGATACAGGTGTGAAAGAGGGTTAATTACCAAGGCTAGATTACACGTGAATATTAAAATCTAGTACACGAATTGTCATAGGAGACACATCAGCAGAATGAATTAAGGAAAGAGTGATGGTGAAGGGATGAATTTATAGTCCGATACGACATTCTATGAGCATTATGCAACTTTGAACCACAGAACTGTATAAAGATAGAACTGTGTCTGAACAGAAGAGAAAAAAACGCAGGAAAGGGACTTGTCGTCAAGATGGGTCAATAGACGCTAAAACGCTGTATCTTCAAGATAATACCACAGTGTTTACTGTTATTGCAGATTGTGAAGTAAGCGAGTCTTTGTTCATCAGTGAACTTGCCTGATGTCATAATTATACAACAGAATCCCTCTATCATACAATAAATGTATAAAACTAAGTAATAATTCGTTGAACTAATTAGTTTTGAAACACGCTTAGAAGCACGTTGCAATAATTTTTTAATTTAATGGATATCGTCTTATAGAGATTCTATTCATTAGTCATGGCACCTGGTAAGTCCAACTGATGAATATATATACGTGTTAACTTAGTTTTAAACTTTACATTTTATGTCCATTCTAAGAGGTAGTATCCCTTATAAGGAAAACTTATGTCAATTAAAATCTCATTCGGCAGCACTCGGCTGTTTCCGTAAAGCTACAGAGCACCCGTTTAATTGAAACCCTGTAAAATAAAAAGATAAGTAATATAATAGGCTAGTGTTTACTCTTATATCATAATGTGAAGTGGGAAAACTGATAAATAACGAATTATAGTATAAGAGGATAACAGAACGGTCATTATCAAGATAGAAGACTGATAACTGCCCGGTAACAGCTTTAATTGTCACTTCCGGTTCAGGGACAGATGCCGTTCCGGGCCTCCTGATTAGTGGAAAGGAGAAACGTCGCTGGGGTGATTTGATTCTGAAATTCATAAAGCATGACAGTGATACGTATGGCAAACTGCTAAAAATTCAAGAAGAACATTTTTGAAAGACAGACTTGATTTGTGGAGTCTGGAGGCTAAAGGTCCGTAATACGTTTCTACTGGTTTAACTGCATTGAGTAACTGTGGTTACCCTTCATGATAGTCCGAGAAACCCTAGACAGATGTATATACAGACCGTGGTAGATGACTCGGGTGTATGTCGCTTGGAAGATCTATCGAAGCCTATATAGAGTTTGAGGGTATCTCGGACTACTTTGAAGAAAGCTGATGCTATTGCTCGATAACAACTATGATAATTATAGTAACTAATCATAGATAGAGAGAAACAACTATTAATATGATGTTGTTACGTCATTCTCATTCAATATCAGGTACTGTTGCCAACATCATAGAAGAATAAACTTGGTTTTACAGACAGAAATGGGTCACTGGACTCTTAAGGTGTTTTCCGGAAAATTGTGACTTAAATCCACTGTCGTTTTACACAAAATTAGCAAAAGGACCGAGAGCAATTTTTGTGTCTCGAATATCTTTGAGATTCCAGGGGCGTATTAGGAGGTGGCCCATTGGGCTATGCAAGCCTCCTCTCTTTCTAATCCTTTATCTGGATCAACATGGACTTTTGTTGTCTTTTCAAAAATTTCTAAATTCAATCAACAATTTTTTACACAGCCATTTTCTGCAGATACATCATTATTATCTACATCTTAAAATTCCTTTGAGTATATCTACATATAGCTGTATTTATTCATAATGTGTTTATTTTCACAAAGCGAGCATGTACCTAATACCTTACAGTGAGTCTAGCCAAATACGCAATATCTTTATGGTTTAAATCATGTTTAGAGAAGGCTGCGATAAGTAAAAACTTCACAAAGTTGGCAAGATCTCAAACATCAGTTAGAAGTAAGTCGGTATTGAACAAAGAGTTATTAGATAGACGTAATATATAGATAAAGAGTATGGTAGGTTCTTGTTGGTTTCTTCTTATCTTTTCTTACCGTGCTACAGATCGAGATGTCATATGACCTCGTTAAGGAGTGAAATGTAACATACAATGTATTTCAAAACAAGTCGTGATTTTGCTGTTTCATTACACGATAATTTATCCAAGGAATCATAGCACAAAGACGTGTTTCGGTTTTGTAATCTTCACCAAGAGAAGAGTCGGTGGTTTCGGGCGAAAATGAAATGGAATTGAATTTTGCACCTGACTGGGCTAATGAAGATAGAAAATGCCATGCAATCCGTTTTATATAAGGGAAATTTTGCCAGAACAGTGGCATTAAACTACTCTTTATAGAATTTCAACTTTTGGTGTATCCCTAACACCCTTACATGCACAACATTTAGTATACTTTCGAGATTAAGTCCTTACTGTATTTGGACTCCCATCTTCCACGTAAAGTCATTAACCACGCTGACATGACATATTATGTTCTAGCTGATGTT